CCAATAAGTTAATAATATAATAACAGGTCTGGCCGAATCTAGGGATAATTTTTTTCTCTAATTCGAACCAGCCTTTCTCTCTTTCCTCTCTTTTCTCTTTTCCTCTTTCCTCTCCTACTTCTTGCTGTTTACTTTACAGTCAACGAACAAGACAGAATTCTAGGGCAGGTCAAACTTTAACATCTCATAACGTTCCTTACTACCCTTCTCCTCCTTTCATCTCTCAGGCCCCTTACATCCATGAAACCAACTTCCTCTTTGAGATCAACCTCCAATCCCCACTCTCCCTCTATTCCTCATCAACAATTCCTTCTTCCCTCTCCTCCCCTTCCTCCCATATCTCACCTCCTTCTCCAATATCTTTCTTTCTATTCTGTTCTTCTCTACTTCTCTCAAAATGCTCAATTGCTTTCCTTGCCACTCCTTCCCCTCCCAGGAAAAATAGACCCAATGATTTCCGAATCTCCACTTGTTTATCCACCAACTGACCAATGCTAGCTCCTCCTTTCTTAGAGTTATCTTCCCCAATAGCCTTCTCAGTTTCAATCCCCACATTCTCCTCTTCTTATCTTCCTTTGTTCCCCCTTTCCCCCCCTTTCAACCCAACTCTTATCACACTTTGCCCCATCATTTTTTTCTTCCTTTTATAGACTTTGTGTGTGTCTTCCCTATCCCTTTTTTTCTTCCGATTGTTGCTCCCTTTGACCGCTGCTTCAAGTCCAACTCCCCTGAACTTTACTTCCATCTCAAAACATCCCCGTCTGAGAGGAGAAGATGAAGCAGATGGAGAAGAAGAAACAAGAGAACAACTGGAACTTACCTTGCTATTTAGTTGAGCAACGATATCCAGCGCCTTTGCTCCCACAGTTGATCTCAAACAAAATTCCCTGTTCCTCAATCACCAATCCTTTAGCAACCCTTTCGATTTCCCCCTGAAAGCTCTCCCCTTTCTCGCCTGTGCTAATAGTTTGAAGGTCTTCAATCACTGGGTGTCCAGTCGTAACAGTCTCTTGAGAACCTTCCTTTCTTCGATCCCCTCTTGAGTTCAGTCTAATATTTTTGTCACTATCTTTTGGAATTTGAAGCTTAATAAAAGAAAATCATTGTCAGAGTTGCAAGAAGTGGCAAATTTCCTTCACAGATATTTTTGCTTCCCTACAGCTTATAGAAACTTCTAATTGGTTTGAGCTGTTCTTGTGGTAGACGTGGGAATGATGCACAAGGTTTTGGTTACTCTTGTAGAGGGAAAAGATGTCTATTCTTAAGAAGTTACAATACATGATTCGAAATTCAATAATCATATTGTTTTTGGTCCTTCTAGTTTCATCAGTGCTATCATCATCATTGTGTTAGTCTTTCAAAGTTGGATTAGGATTAATGAAACAGATATAAAGTCTTTACCACTTACCAACTTGATTGAACCCTCCTCCAAGAAGACTTAAGTTGCAACACCAAGCAAAAATCAATAATGACAGGGTTTATTATTTCAATATTTGAGTTCAATGTTATGGGATACGGATAGGATGCCATCAGCCACAGAATGTAGGAAGGATATTATAAATATGAAAACATAGACAAAAGAGTTCTACCTCGTATACATCATGCTTATGTTGGATGTGATTTTCTCTGAATAATTTCTGAATTATAATTAGGGGCCATTGCCTGGTACAATGGTAAAATCTCAGGCTGACAAGTGTGAGAACACGGGTTCGAGTATGAGAGTGGCCACTTGGTGCAAAAAATACCAAATGTTAGGTCTGTATCCTGTCTACCCCTCCCAAGATCCCAGATAGCTGGGACCAATATTGGGCAATGTCCTTTTTTAATTTCTAAATTATAATTGATTAATTTATTCATCATCATTATCTAAGCCTTGTCTCAACTATACGGGGATGGCTACATGAATCCTATTCCACTATTCTGTCCTGTTCAGTATCATATCCATTGTTAAATTGTCGGCCCTTAGATCATTTCTTACTACTTCAACCCATGTCTTTTTTGGCCTGTCCCTAGCTTTTGTAACCCCTTCGATAGATACACTACTTACTGTGCTATAGATGGTCTTCTCAGCATGTACCCAAACCATATTAGTCCACTTTCCTTTGTTTTATCACCCACCAATGACTAACCATCTTTTTTTCTTGATCAACAGACCATTTTTGGTTCTACCAAAGTACCAATTGTTTCAATATGTACACCATTTTTCCTTGCATATTTTGCTTTTCTTGTTTAGCACATGTTGGTTCAGTTCAACACTCCTCTCTCTCCCTTTTATTATTTACTTGTTTAGTTCTTTTCTGTAACCTACAGGCTCTGAATTTTCTGAAGACAAGTTTGTTTCTAAAGTAAAAATGGAGATTGTCGTTAGCAAAGAGCAGGTATATGTGCATGCTGAATTTCTTGGTTACTACAAGCAGAAGCTGATGGTTTCAAGTTTTCATACTTCATTATTTATTTGTTATTATGGAGTTTTATGGCATGTAAGTTGCTAGTACTATTTACTCATCAAACAATTTATTCCATATCTTCATATAATGCCTCGTTAGGTTGAAGAAGTGATTGACAAGATAATTGAGGAGGCAAGAACTGGGGAGATCGGTGATGGAAAAATATTCTGTGAGAATATAGACTTATAGTTGACTTTTACATTAAATATTGGTAGTTCATGATTAAACATGGAGTAGAGTTCTTGTTTGTATTTTAATATGTGTATTGCAAATGTTTTTTTCCCCATTTCTACTTATCAGAAATACCAGGGTAGCCTAACAATTTAGAAATACCTTACTGTTTGATTATGGTTAGCAAAGTGTCTACTACCTTTACTATGACAATTTAGAAATACCAGGGTAGCTTAACATGTTGAATGATGAGTTTACACGACCACAACATTCTCATGCGGTCCTCCAATGAAACACAAGCATGCTATCAATCAAATGAAAAACTCAATCACTGAATGAATGCATGCCTGGGTGATTTGGTTTCAAGGAGTTTACATGGTCACAACACTTTATTGCAACCATACAATAAAACACAAAAATGCTAACAATCAAATGAAAACCACCCATTGAGTGCATGCCTTTTTCCTACCCCAAATGATACAAAAACAACCTACTAACATATGAAAAAATAGAGACTGCCTCTAAGATCTACTACCTTACTATGACAATCAAGACTTGCCAAGGTAGCCTATTATGTATTGTGATGTGTTCACATGGTTACAACTTACAATACGTTCTTGTGATTGTCCAGTAAAACACTAACATGCTATCATTCAAAAGAAAAAACCAAATCACCCAGTCAATGCATGCTTCGGTGATTTGATTTTGATGAATTTACACGGTTACAAAACTATTTTGTGACCCTCCTATAAGTCACGAATATACTAATAATCAAATTTAAACCAAATCACTTTGTGAGTGTATGCATAGGTGGTTTGGTCTCAATTAATGTACATTATCACAACATTTTTTTGCAACCCTCCAATAAAACATAGACACTATCAATTAAATGAAATACGGAATTACCCAGTGAGTGCATGCTTGTTGTTGCTACCCTAAGTGATACATGAACTATCCACTATCATATGATAAAATGGAGGCTAACTCTAGGTTCCATTGCCTTACTAGGAATGTCAAGAAATATGAAGGTAGTCTAACATGTGGAGCGATGAGTTCACATAATCATAACACTTTCTTGTGGCCTCTAAAAAACCCAGACATGCCATAAGACAAAGGATAAGTTAAATTACTCAGTGAGTGGTTTAGTGCATGCCTGGTTGATTTGTTTTTCATGAGTTCATATAGTCACAACAATTTCTTGTGACCATCCAATAAAAAACAAACACGCTGCTATCAATCAAATGAAAAACCAAATAACCCAACGAAGGCATGTCTGCTATTGCTACACCAAATGATATAAGAAGAACCCACTATCATATAAAATAGAGACTACCTCTAGGATATACTACCTAACTATGATAATCAAGTAATGCCAAGGTAGCTTAACATGTAGAGTGCTGTCTAAGTGTTAAGGCACTTATGGAGGATTGCCTCACTTAACTGCCAGGATATTTTTACATGGTGCTATTGGATAATTTTATATTCTTAACTTTCTGAGATTTTAATAGTAAAATAGACACTATTAAATTATCTTGTTCAGTTTGAGTTAAAATACTACTTTCTTTTTATTAATTTTCTTATTTGTTAGGGTTCAATCAAGATATATACTATCTTGAACCCTCAAAGACTTCAAAACCTGAACTAAGCATGGAAGAACTCAAATTTCTGTCCAATCAACACATATTGATCTTCTTCTTTGTTGAATAACTTAGTTTTATTTCAGTTTAGTGCCACAAGGGCACATATGTAATTGTACTTTTTATTTTTTGAATGGTCGCCCTAGTATAAATATTAAAAAGGTTGGTGCTGCTAGCTGACCTTTTTCTCTCCAATCTCCTTTTTTCCTTTTTTCCTTTCTCTCTTCTCTCATTATTCTGAGATCATACTGCCTCTTTACCAAGAAAACATGGTATCAGAGCGACAGATCCAATCTTAGGAGCAGGGCGATCTGTGTGTTTCTTCCTCCAACTACTTTATTTGTCTATTGGTGATTGAATCAAAGGAAAGAGGTTTCTGGTGGACGTGTGAGGGAGCTTTCTGTGTATTTCGTCCTCTCCTCTCTTGGTCATGAGCCCAGAAATCATCAAGGGGAGGGTAGCTGAATGCTGTGAGATTTTTTCTCCTTTTTTCTTCCTCAGCTTTGTGGATTGAACTGATCCTTTTGTACCCAGGTGAGTGGGTTATGTGGGTCTAATAACCTGCGGCTGGTGTGAGAGTGTTTTCTCTCAATATATGTGGATCGAGTGATCCTTCTTATGCCCTGAAAGGTGGGCTGTTCAGGTCTGCAGTTCTGTAACTGCTGTGATAGCAGTTTTTTCTTCTTCAGTTCATATTAAAACTTAAATTGTTGTGTGGAAAGTTGATGAGTTATTGCTGGAGGGACTGGTCAGACCTGTTTTTTGATATGTTTTGCACATCTGAACTGGTTTAGTAGGGTTGAAATCTGAGAACAAGTAATGGTGTGTGATCAGTTTTGATTATTCTGTGTGAGAACAAGTTTTTTGCGCCCAGAACTGTAGCTGAACTAAGACTTTAACCTTGTTTGACTGAACTGTGAGTCTGAACTGAACTGAGAGCTTGTTCTCTAACTGGATTGTGACTGAACCAAAATCAAGTTCTATGTCTTCTGAGGATTCTAGTATGTGTGGTGTGACCTCTAGCTAGAGTGGGATGAGTGGAGGTTTTGACACAAGTTTTCCCATGGCTGTGATTCCCTTTGATGGCCTCAATTACCTAGAATGGTCAAGGGGAATCAAGCTCTACATAATTGCAAGGGGAAAAGTGGGGTATATCAATGGTAGAGTTAGAGAACCCTAGTCTGGAGGTGTGGAACGTGATAGGTGGGACTAGGAAAACAGCATGGTGATGTCATGGCTGTTATTGTCTATGCTGCCACAAGTGAGAAAGACCTTCATGTGGGCATAAACAACTCATGAGTAGACCTGTTCATGAGCTGGGTAGCCCGATGGGTCGGCCCCCGGACGGGCTTGTACACAGATTTGAGCCCGCAGGCTTGACCTCGGGCCTAAAAGCCTAGCTCGAATTTATTTCGGGCCGGGCTCGGGATTTGTCAAAATAGCCCGATCTGACCTTTATGTTAAACTAAAAACCCTAACCCTAAATATCCTCACCCCTCTCTTCTCACCCATCTCTTTCTCTTAGTCTTAGCTGAACCTCAGTTCTCTCTTCTTAGTTTTCACAGTCACAACCTCACATTCTCAGGCAGACAGAACCGGCGAACACTCACCGGCGCAACCAGTGAACTTCGGGGGACCGGCACTGAGTCCTCTCTCTCTCTCTCGTTCCTCTTCTCACTTCTCTCTCAGAACCTCAGACGCGAACTCAGGCACCGGCGGCGGCGGTGAGTCCTCTCTCTCTCTCTCTCTCTCTCTCAGACGCAAACTCACTTCTCCTTTTCACTGTCAAAATCTCAGCTCAACTTTACCAACGCGAACTCAACACCGACAACCATCTTTCTGTTAGGTCGGGCTTCAGGCTCGGGCCCAAGTTGTAGGCCCGTTGGTCGGGCCGGGCTTGGGCCTAACAAAATCTTGTTTATGAAGAGTAAAAGCCCGGCCCGACCTGATCCATGAACAGGTCTACTCATGAGATATGGGAGCAGGTTAAATCTACATATTTAGAACAACGACATTATGCCAAAATATATCAGTTGCAGGCTGCCTCATCAACTTGTAAGCAGGGGGAGAGGAGTCTGGCTGAATTCCACATATGAATCTATCAGGTTTTAGATATTGGGGAGTAAAGATCTTCCACTAGTGCAAGAAGTATATGCTCTAGTACAGTGGGAAGAGAGCAGATGAAATATGATGAATAATCCTGAGGGAGAGCAGATTGCATTAGTAGCTAAAGGGAGTGTTGCTACGGGTGGTAGTAATTCCTTCAAGAAGAGTGACTTCCAGAAGAAAGTTGATGACAAAGATAAACTATGGTGCACACAATGTCAGAAATCTAGACATACTCGAGAGACATGTTGGGAGCTTCATGGGAAGCAAAGTGGGCTCAGGAGTTGAGTAAAAAGTCAGACCAGAATAAGAAGCCAAGACAGCAAGGTCAGAGAAGTTTAATGCAGCAAACTTAGCCTCTCAAGAACCTCAATCATCTACCACTACTATAAGTCCTTCTGTGACTGATCCCAGGGAAGATATCATCAATTCTTTCCGTGACCATTTGGAGCTGTATGGGAGGGCAATCTGCCAGATGGATTCTACTTCTCCCCCCTCGACTTCCTTTGCATCTACATCCGGTAACGATAATTCTGCAACAGCTTTCCGTGTGTCATCTCATTCCTTAGACTCTCATTGGATAATAGATTCTGGAGCCTCGAACCATATGACGGGTAAGTCCAATTGTTTTCAATCTTATCATCTATTATCTGGACGGGATAAGGTGAGACTTGCTAATGGTTCTTTCTTCACCATATCTGGTCAAGGAACCATCTCCCTTCCTCTTGGACTCACCCTTTCTGATGTTCTACATGTTTCTAAACTGCCCATAAATTTGTTCTTTGTTAGTAGTATAACAAATTCGTTAAACTGCTCAGTAACCTTTTTTCCTTCCTCTTGTATGATACATGATTTGGCCTTGGGAAGATGGTCTTTACATGTTGGAGAATAAAGCTAGTCTTGCGGCTATTGAGTCTAAGAGTCTGTCTAGTAAGAGTCAAGTCCATTTATGGCACAATCGTTTGGGTCATTTATCTTTTGAATCATTGAAAGCTTGGTTACTAGATTTATTTAAATCAGTGTCATTGTCGGATTTCACATGTCAAACTTGTCAATTGAGCAAACATATTGTAGAAATCATTTTACTTCAAGAAATAATAAATTTGAATTTCCTTTCCATATTGTTTATTTTGGTGTCTGGGGCCCTATTACTTTAACATCCGAGTCTGGCTATAAGTATTTCATTACACTTATTGATGACTACTCTCGATATACATGGGTGTACCCTATGCAGTCCAGAGATGAAGTACCAAAA